CAGCTCTCCATCAAGAAGAATACTAAGGAATAGCTAGAAATTTCACCACTGATCCTTTCAGGGTGATAGGTATTGCCATTCTCTTGTTAACCAGCAATTTCATCGATTTTTTAAGTGCCACCTAAGGTTAAACTACCTTGCTAACAAATACGTTGACTACCATTTTTGGCAACGATTTGCTGACTTAAATGCTGTATAAAGCCGGCCAATATTCAACCAAGTTAGTTATTCACTGTCAGACGGTACGAGCAGAGTTCTTTGTCGCGAGGCTGAGAACCCCGGTGACCGACACTGCTGTATTACCTCTTCGGCTCTAAGCATTCAGCCAGGAATCACCGATCTTCTCAAAGGTCTGTACTGGGAAAACCTAACAGCTATGAAGGAAAAATATACTGTTGCAGATGGGATATCCGCTGGGCAAGCATCACGAACCAATATCTTCACCTTAGATTATCAAAACAACTATGTCTTCGAAAAAAGAAGGTGCTTTAGACACCAATATCTTTGGCATAATACCTGGAGACGTTTTAGAAGAGCTCTACAAAGAGCTCCAACACTTCAGACGTTGTAGTTTTCCTCTCGATCAGTCTGGTGCTACAATAACAGGCCAGAGAAGATCACCCAGAGGTATCGAGGCAGTCACGTTTGCCGGAAACTTCAGTCGAGAAAGAGTTTACTTAAGAAGCTCTCCAGTCCTTTAAAGGCCATGGAACGTCAAACTACCTTGCCAATAAATATATTACAACTTAACAAAGTTGACCAAAAATGACCTTTAGGGCTCACAAAAGTCTTAACCATGCCAAAAGTCGCAAGAAAGCGAATTTAAAAGAAAACTTTTAATGCATTCAATGTATAGAATTTTAGTCGTTAAAAAACTGACGCAGAAAATTTATCGAGATTGGAACAGCAGCATCAAAATCGACAAATAAAGAATCTATTACGTGGGAGATCAGCTTTTTATTGTACCCTGACAGTAATCCCTTAAATCTTTAAAGATCTAAATTAAGTTTTTTAAATAAGTAGAAAATATATTCGTGTTTTTGAGGCAATAAAAAACGTAAAGATTAAGCTCCAGGACTTTGTTGCTCTGGTAATAAAGTTGTGAGATAAGAAAAAAACATTGAAATTAAATATTTTTTGTGAGTTTTGAATCTTTACTGTTTCCAAAAAAAGTTCTTCTCGTAGATTATATGGGAAAAACTAAATCCACGACCTTTTATGGCCAACGATTATTTTATGGTGAAAGAAAGGCATGGTACTTTTCAGCATAATTATATTTTTTCACTTTTTACAGCTTACTATTCGACCAAATAAACTGTATGGATGGATATAAATATGTTTTTAATAAGATTTTCATTCTGAGAAGTGTCAGAAACAGATAGAAAATTTTTACCTGAAAATTACCTGAGTATTATTATGAAGGTACAAAAATAGAACACATAATTCCCATTAATCTCTGAATACTCTATGATGATTCCGGGAGTGAGAGAGATGGTTATGAGAAAGCCCTACTACCTTAGTACTTTTTTTAAATACACTGTTTACCAATATACATCATATTTACTGATACTAACAAAAAAAAAAAAAAAGGTTGACAAGGTGAAGGACTTCTCGCAAACATCTCTCACTCCTGGTATCATGTAGCTAGATCTTTTTTAAACCTTTGTATATATACAATACTCAGTATATCCACTAATAAACCTCCTAGTCCGGTCGTAATATTTGATTGTTCATAAACCACGATGTCTACGTGGTAACATCAGATGGCCAACAATTCAGTGAATGCATTGTACGTGTATTTAATATTTTGGAGATTGGTAGATTAGCGTCGGTAGGATTGTTCTGGTTAAGGAACTACGCTCGTAGTATGGAAACGACGTTTGCAGTAAAACTTTTTCAGCGCTTGTTTTGTACTTCTCAACTGATTGCATAGTAATGGCTATACACTATGAGTGTAGTGCAGTATTTAGTTTTTTATCAAATAATATCACGGCATAGCTTGAACTCTTGAATACTCTAGCAACACTAGTGACATTTCCATGGAATAGTGCACACGTGCGAAATCGCTGGAAAATATTTTAGACGGTCTTACGGTACATCGGGCATACGAGGTCATGTATTAGCATATTCGATGTCACTGGAGCATGTCTAAAATGCAAAAGGGGGCTACGTGATGTCAGACACACTGATCTCTCGCAAACTTGTAGGGAAATGTCTGGTAGTACTAGAGCGTGCTGGATATGCATGCCAACAGAGGGGTTTGTCAAGTGGCGCCAAAACACACCTGAAGTATGCATAGTTGCGAAGGATCAAGTTGAAGGGTGCTGGAAGATACACGGTATTGTAGTGATATTTTAACGTATTTCATGGCAGTAGCTTGCTTATAGGCGAGTTAAGCAGAAGGTATCGCCTAAGACACCTCGAAGCTGATCGTTACTCATCTCACACATGCACGGCCATTTTACAAGCCTAGAAATTGTAAAAAAATCTGAGTTCGTGCTAGGTGGTGCTAGGGTCAGTTAACGAGCAAGGGTGCTAGTGTTCTCGGTGATCAGTATACTTAGCCACTGTGAGAATGGTCAATCATTAGATTTCTTGAGTCCAAGTTATATATTAAAAGTTTTTTTTGATGTATGGAAAATAAATATATTTAATAGTATGCGTTACTTTTAATGACTTAAGATAAAGTTGGAACTTACGGATGCTTTACAGATGTAAACCTTGATTAAATAGAAAAGCTCTGTAAAAAAATCTACAGCTGAACCATTAAAAAATATCTTAGAGATAAGAAGATACAAGTTGATTTATTCAAAAATGGTTGCAAAACAACGTACATCTCTTTTTTTTAAGTAGTATATACAGTTAGCTACCTATGATGCTGTGACCTTAGTTTGAAAATCATTGTCAAGTTATCAAGTAAAAGAAGGAAAAGTAATAAATTAAAGAGAAAAAAAAGTCAGGAAAAATGATCTGCTAGGTGATTAGATACGGTTCAATGGCTGTCAGTGACTTTTATCATTTCAATTATTTTTAAAAATATTAAAAAGTGAAACTTCAAAAATGGTTATTAACTAAAAGTCACTGGTAAAAATAAAAAAATAACATTTTTCAAGCGTTGAAATGTGGTTTGGATTTAAAATTGAAATTTAATTGTCGTAAGAACATAATAAACTATTTTTGATTATTAGTTTTTTTTATTATTTTTTTTGTTTACTTTTTTCGTAAAAACACAAAAACACAAACCAGGCGAAAAATGCCTTAATAATATTTTTCTAACTTTGAAGTTACCGTTAAAAAAAAGTTAATATATATTAACACTGACAAGTGCACTACCCTTTAACGATCAACTGTATAAATCGTATTTCATAATACCTGCTGTATATATTAAAACCTAATACTGCGTATAATATTTTTGAGATACTTTTAAATATAAATTAGTGTGTAAATAATATAAACAAGAATTCACATTTTTTTATGATTAGTGATTGGTACTTTTTTGCAAGTATAAAAATATTTTATTTATAAAATGTTTGTCACACAATAGTCCTCTAGAATATAAAAATCAGCACTATTACATAGCCATGACCGTGCAGGCATGACAAAAATTTTAAATGACTTAACAGATCCAGTTTCATGTGCATTGTAATTGATGGTTTGTTTTTCATGCTTATTGCCATAATTTAACGGCTCTAAAAATGATATTTTTTTTTTAAATAGCTCTTCGATACTTTTTCTACTTTTAATCACATCGGCGTATTTACTTGCTTGTATCCTACACTTTCCAATCAAAAACCATTTTTCAAATTTGAACTCATCAAGTATTTTTGTTATATTGGAATTATGTCTTATTTAGGCAAAATTATTTTCTTATCATAAAAGATTTTTATATCATCAATAATTACATGTAGTTCGATACGTATGAATGGCTTGAACTTCATTAAATAATCAAATTCATAATCCTTTTATTTATCATAGATATTTTACTTCTTAATATAGCCTGGCTTATAATTTCATTAACTTTTACGTATGAACAACTTGGCTTTATTCATAGCCTAAACTTTTAAAATATTAGTTGGTTGACAATCAATATTACGAACATCAACAAACTTAAGTATTACAGGGTTAATGGAAGAATTTTATGAGTTTATCATCCTTACTTTATAAATATCAAAAATTATTAAAGGTTTTGAATCGGTATCTTTCCCAAGTGAAGCATCAGAAAGTTTGCCTCACTCTTGCTTTACAGATGTTTTTCGTTATACTTCGATCTCAATTCATTCAATAAATTAATGCAAAAATGTGTTAACATTTTTTGACTCTGTTGTAACGCAAGCACAACTGACATTACATACTTTCCATGTAGAATTTATCTATGAATAAATATAAAAAATTAGAGGTATGTGATTTTCTAATGTGTTTAACGTACGTGTATTTATTTAAAACAAATAGCAATAATTTTTTATATTGAAACTTTGTAAGGGTGCTAGTTAACACTAGTTGTTCTGATGATACTACATTTGCGAATTGCACCTGCTTCAATGTTCAACTTTTTTTCTTTATCTCGTTATGCATGCGATATTGCTAGTTTCTTATCATTTTCTATTCTTTGAGGGTCAAATATTATTGAGTGAAAGACTGAGGCAAAACTTGTTATTATTACTATATCCATAACCTTAAAAATGGTGCTAGCTGTCTTTGCACTCACAGTGGATACGTATATACTGAGTCGTCGATCACACTTCAAAATTTCTAATTTGTTATTTTTACTTATAGCTAACCAGTTAATTATAATATTTAACCATGTGTTTTTAATTTATAACATTGATTTTTTCCATACAATTTCATCGTACACTTATTTTGAATGTATAAAAATGTTGAACGACAAGCAGAAAATTGAAGGTTTCTTCATAGAAAATTAAGTTTAGCTAAACAATGAATGTTAATTCTTAAATTTCTTTTAAATATTCAATTATTTATTTTTTCATACATTGTTCTTTAAGGAAAAGCCATCACGTCTTGTCCGTACAGTTCTTACATCTACACATAAAAAACATTCACCTCAGTCCAATAGTACCGGTATCAAAGCAAATTCTGAGACTGATAATGTTCTTGATCATGATTATCATAATTATAATATTGATGACAATGACGACGAATATGATAGCAATGACAATGATGATCTCAATAACGGAAGTAATAATGACAGTATTTATGACAAAAAGTGTAAGAATAAGGAGTCTTTCAGTAGAATTATTTTAAATAAACGGGACAGTAAACAAAATTTACAGAAGAATAATACTAAAAACATTCATACTGCTAAAGTCAGTCAACAGCTTGGTCAGATAAAGCAACTACTCACACCCTCTAAAAGGACTACTGTATCGAAAGCGTCAATCTCTCAGAAACAACAATATGAAACTTCTAATGATATACAGCAAGGAAAAAGAATAGTTGTACATAAATCAGGTGTGCTAAAATTCAAGAAAAATATGAAATCAAACGTCATTAAGATTGATAATTTACCAGTTAGTACAACAGAATCACAACTTCGAAAAATGTGTCATGGAATTGGCAGCATCGAGGTAACTATATAAAACTAAAAAGTTTACAGCAATGTATGTAATGTATGATTTATAAATATTTATTCTTATCAGGTAGGTTTTGTCTCTCTGTCAAATGAAGCTTATATCATTTTTCTCCTTTTCAGTTACGCTAAATAATATGGATATTTTTCAAAGCAGCCTTAAAATTTTAACCACAAAAATATTTTATTTTATTCATACAAGAAAAATTGTTTACTTCCTATTTATTTTTATTCACTCTCACCGATTCATGTTCATATACCTTCATATTATTTTTAAAACAGCACTTTTAAAAAAAAGTTGTATTTTATTATTACTGTGTTTTGTGGCATAAATAGATAAAAAATTACTCTCTAATAGACGTTCGAATTGATCTTAACCATTAGTTTTGAAGAATGCAACCAAATTAGTATTAATTATAATCTGGAATGAAAAAAAATCACCCCAAAATAGGTCTCAAACCCATAAACCCCTATTTGAAGCATATAATAGCCTTGATAATTATGCTATCAGAAGGGGGAGAGGCTAATCACTCACTCAGCTGTAGTTCTTTATTTTATTTTTGCCCAGAGCTGTCTTTTACTTAAGTTCCAACTGAGAAATAACTAATGCTTGTTAAAAATTCAAATGCAAATAATAGTAATTAGTCGAATAAAAAAAAAAATTGATGTATAACATAACGACGTACGTGATTTATCTTTGTGAAGTTTTTAGACTATTATACGTGACTATTATTTATAATTAAATAATTTTATGCGTACATGAATTTTTAACATTTTTTCTTGAAATCTAATGATTTTTTAACAGTATTGAAGAATAATAATTAAGATTTATTTGTTAAAATATACGGCGACACTTGTGCATGAAAAAATGTAGAAATAGTACATTACTTGTCTGTAATATAAGATACAGTGCGTCAAATAATCCATAAACCCTAACTTCCTGCCACGTAGTTAATGAGTATCTGAGTCGATTGGGAGCATTGTCTATCATAGAACATATACATATCAGTAAGGCCATTTTCGAAATAAGGAGGGTGTAGAAATCGTTGATTAACTTTGTACAAACCGGGAAAAATTAACTTCACATCGTTGCGAAAGAGGATTGGGCTGTAGTTAACTGGAAAAAAAGAAAATGCTAACAACTTAAACTTATGTGTGGTTTTCTCGTTACAACATGTACTTTTATGAAAAAATAGTAACAGACACCAGAGACTGGCAGTATGACGGTAATTCGAAATCAAGCGTTAGAAAATTTCTAAAACCTGTTGTAAAACGATGAAAAGTGAGTAAAATTTATCACTTACGACTGTACAAATGTTATGCAGTACTGGCAGATATTTCTCCTACCCTATCCCTCCAAAATCACCCCATAAAGTAGTTTGTTTGCTAATGGGCCTGCACTACATTAAAAAAATCGCTATGCATACTTCATGTTTACTTTTTCTACGTATATATACATTATGTAGCAAGAATTTAATCTTTTTTCTTACAAACGTGATTTCTTTATGCATCATAAGTGGCTTGTAAGGCCAAAAAATAATCAAATAATTTTGTATGTAAGGATATAACATTAACATGTGTATTTTTTAACTCCACCTCTTTCCGTGGTTGCCATAATGTTTTGTCTTTCGCTATTTTTCCTGGTTCATGAAAAATGGATGCAAAATTTCTACACTCTCCTTTACAATTTCTCATTTTTTGTAAGTACTGCTGCACGTCGAGAAAAAGAGGTAGTAGTAATGAAACTGTTTTATTTCCGTATTTTTATGCTCTCCAAGTTGGGTATGCAAGTTTTAAAACTTTAAAAACCAAAATCAGAACAGCCCTTTACTGTTAATTTTACACTTATTTTTGACAAAAAAAATTTTTTTGGATCCTTACTATTTATAAGGAACATTTCGTCTTCTGTTGTAGTGTTATTTTTTAATTGGTTTAAATTAGTACGTTAAAATCAGTATTTTAGAAATAATTCATAATAGCTTCTTTCATGGTTCCGCGTTTTATTTAAACGAAAATTATTTGGAACAAACTGATAATTTTTTTATATTTTTGTTTTACATATATAGGTCTGTGTAATCCAACAAGACCTCGTGATTTTTCCTGACTGAAAAAATATTAATTTCCAGCAGTTTTCATAAAAAGTCTGAATTAATTAGATCTTAAAACTCATTATTATTTTGTAAAATAAATATTTCCTAACACGTACAGAAATGCTTTACGTTACACTGAAATACATAACAATATAAAGACAAAAAAGCCATACAGAAATATAACTACTCATGTCACTTACAAATGGAAGACCATACATTCAGAAATTAAAGCAATAGAACACTCGATAATACCACAGTCATGCCAGTCAACAAGACTTTCGTCTATAAAATTTTCATTCAAACAAAACGTAGTAAAAAAACGGCGCATGTATATAGACAAGCATGTTATAAAGTGAGCAGTAGTCATAGAGTATCTCAATGTACTGGCACATAATAAAAAAAGAGTTAGTATTTAGAATATTGTCATTTAAAGCTTTTCTTAGAAAATCTGTTAACTTTTATAGATAAGGGAATGTATCGCCAAAACTACAATATGTTAGGGATGTTCTTTGTGTATTTTTTACCAAGCCAGAAACAATTGACTAGATTCGTCTTACCAATATCAGTAGGTTTACAACAAAATGTATAACCTTCGAAAATTTGTTAATTGTGCTGACGTTTTACAAAAGTTGAAGTTTCTTTAATTAATTAATTTAAATGATTTTTTGTAACTATAGGTTATATTTGTTATCAAGCTGTTTTTCAGCATGAAACTAATACGTAACGTATACTTGTTAAGAACCAGCACCCCCCCGCCTTCGCCCGAGGCTCACTAAGTGAAACACTGTAGTGTGTTGACATGTAATGTGAAACGTTTTCAGATAAAAATTTTACATCTATTCTTGACGCTACTTAGAATAAAAATCTCCTTATTAAAAACATATTTGTTTAGAATCCATACAGTTTATTTGGCCAAATAGTAAGCTGTAAAAAGTAAAAAAAAAAAAATTATGCTAAAAAGTACCGTACGTTCTTTATGCCATAAAATAATCGTTAGTCCTAAAGGGCCGTTGATCTGTCGTTTTTCCCGTGTAATCGTAGCAGGACACTGATTAGGAGGAAAACTGCAACGTCTGAAGCGTTGCAACTAGTTGCAGAGCTCTTTTATAACACCTCCTGGTATGACACCGAAGACGTCAGTGTCTAAAGCACCTTCTTTTTTTGCAGACTCAGTTGTTTTGGTGATCTATGGTGGAGAGATTGGTTCGTGATGCTTGCACGTTGAAGACTGTCCCGTTTGCTAAAGTGTATTTTTCCTTCATATCTGTTAGGTCGCCGGGGTTCCCAGCCTTGCAACGAATAACTCCGTTTGTGACGTCTGCCAATGAATGACGGACTTGATTGAATATTGGCCGGCTTTATATATTCGTTTAGTCAACGAATCGTTGCCAAAAATAGTAGTGAAAATCTATTTGTTGGTAAGGTAGTTAGCCGAGATACCCAGCTACACGACTGTGGTATGAGCTAATTTGCTGGGGCATGTAATAACCAGACTTACTTAATTCTATTGCAGGTAGCTTCGATTATACTTCCACGCTACCTAGCGGATTCTACTGAACTGAAGTGAAAAGCTAGTGTATTCTTACAAATTTTTGAGCTTATTTATTGTTCTTGATATTAATTTTCTTAAGATAAAAAGTATACTGAAACCATCTAGGAAGTGTCAAGAATCACAACGCAAAATTTCAGCAAGGTCGGTTGATTAGTTTCCGTGGTTAGCGATAATGACTGTTATAGGGACTTTGCTTTGTATATTAGTAAGTTACTTTTAGCATGGCCTTTTTCTACTTTAGTCAGTAATAAATTTATATTTTAATTGACAAATTTTTCCATTATAGTAATATTGTTCATTATTTTCCAATCATCTGAACTTTGTTTAGAAGTAGATTTTAAAACCTTATCAAATGCTTTTGAGGCAATTTCTTTAAATTTTTCAACATGCGAACATGAAAAGTATAATGTCGATTTCAGTGATTTGAAAAATTTAATTTGAGATCATATTGATATTTATATGAAAGTCAAACCGTTTACGTAGTTTTAAAAAACTATTTATGGTGCCTTTTCTTTCGATCAGCGTTTTTTTTTTTTTAATTTTCGAAGCTTGCAGTCTAAGAGCGAAAAGGAATTTGTGACTGTCGTTTACTGCAGTGGTGATGGTCAAAGAATTTCAAAAATTACAGTATCGTTCTCTAATAGAGTACTTTTGACACCCAAAGTTTACAGATGAATACATTTTTTCTGCATTTAACGTGGAATACTTGATATACTTGTGTCTACTACAAATGTTGGCCTAGTTATAAGTGAGGCTAACGATACGCATTTAATGAAGATTGTTAGTTTTATAATACAGTAAAAATTCTGTCCAATTTTCTTACATTTAATTTATAAAATAATTCAAAGATGTATTACTTTTGTTCTTTATCGCATATTAACGATAGTTTTTATTAATTTAAAAAATTAAGAACTATAGATATTATTGGCAGCTACAAATTGATATGATTACATGTTGTTTCTGTATTTGACATTGTCAAGTGTGATTGCCTTACATACATGTAAGGAGAAAAGGAAGAAATACCGATTTACATTACAAAATCAAAAACTTTTTAAAGATATTACTTCTTGCTGTGCAACCGTATTAAAAACAACAGCTGATATCCCTACAAATTATCTTATTTCTCTAATTATCTTTCCTGTTTTGAAAGTAGATTACTGTCAAAAACGGGATACAGATTTTTTTAACGTTCTATTATTTTTATATCGTTGTATTAGTAATAGGTTCGCTTACATTAACAAAAAATATTTAAAACAGTTCGTAATATTTTTAGTAACCATAAAAATTAGTGAATTAACGCGCAACTTCTGAATTCATAGGGTCCATAAAAGAATAAGGAATAAGTTGTAGGCCGAT